TTCACACATAACCTGGAGTGCTAAAAAAACCGAAAATTCTGATAAATTAAGAAGTAGTGGTCTGAGTTTGTGTCTTGTTAAAAAGTTTCTATAAAAGAACGTGCATTAGGGAGAACTAATGCTCTGTGCCATTGCATTTTGTCACTCCCATTTTGCCACTTTTATTTTGTCACTGCTTTTATGCCGTGTGCATTTTGCCATTGCTTTGCTCTGGTTTTGCCTTTGAGACTGATGTGCTTCCTGCAATAATTAACTTTATAAGAACTGACTCGGCTTTTTCAAGAAAATAACCCAACAAGCCGAGTGCCTAAAAGCACCTTTGTGACTCATCCTCACAAAGCAGCTCCAGGGGAATTAGGGACAGTGAGGGGTGGCCTCTGTGGCTGTGCAGGGTGAACATTTCCTCAGCTGCAGGGACATTTTTGGAGCTCAAATGGGGCCCTGATGAAGCAGAGGTTGGTTCAGTGAAATCCTCTGTCATCAAGACTTTTGTTGCAAATATTGGGGTGGATGCTCTATGCGTGCTGTCGAAATGGTTTTTAAGATTTAGTTTTGTTTAGGAGTGAAATAAGGTGATAAAAATGCGTTTGTAGTAAATGAATTGCCTGCTTGGTTGGGTAACACCCAATAAAGACACTGCTACTGATACACCAGCTACCAGCTATAAAAATTAAAAACCACAGCCCAAATTAAGACTGAGAAGAACAAAAGAAATTAAAACCACAGCTGAGAACCACACATGATGTAAAAAGGCAAACTCAAGGAAACAATTCCTGTAAATATATTCCTGTAGAACAGCAGTATGGAAAATGGTTTGTAGAAAAGTTTGAAAATGTATTTTAGATCGATGAATTTGAATTTAAGGGGTGTCCCCAGAACAACAGGGGTGCTCTTGGCTAAATGCCAAGCACCCCCAGTTATAACCTTTTGCTTTACTGTTTGCCTTTTATTGTCTTTTATTAAACTTTTTAAATTTTACCAGGAAAGTGAACCTCGTTTTTCACACCTCCAAACTTTTGGGGTGACCCAAACCCCATCCTGAGCTCCTCTAGGGAACTCCAGAGCAGGGAAACAAATCCTGGATTTCACTTCCAGCTCTGACCCAGATTTGCTGCTCCAGGAGTGAGGTTTGGTTTTACTTTCCCTTCATCCCTTTGCCTCAGAAAATCAATTAATGTCGGGAAAGATCTTTAAGGAAATCGAGTCCAACCATTCCCAGCATCACCACCATGGTCACCATGTCCCAAAGTGCCACCTCCACGGGGTTTTTGGTCACCTCCAGGGCTGGGGACTGCCCTGGCCCAGCCCTTCCAATGCCTGAACAACCTTTTAGGGAAGGAATT